AGTTATGTTTAAGTAACCCGAAGCTATGTACACAAAATTGTTGACATGGGTCATCCTCAGCTCATCTTTCTCGTAGAAAAAAGTGACATCGAATTTCTGTAACCCTAGCTCCGACATCTTTTGAGCTACACATTTTGAGAGCTCTCTGTGAGGTCTCGAAAACCGGTTTCAGTCCATTGTGAGAAGGGTTCATGAGTTAACCATTGGTAGTGAGCATCACATTTATAATCTTGGAGTGGTTTTACCAGATCACACTATAATCTTTCTAGAATAGTCGAGTAGAGGGATCTGAAATGGACGCCATGGGAGTTTTACTACCCACAGAACCTGAAAACGCCTTGTCTTTGAACTGCACCCTGAATCACTTCAAACCCTATGGGTTGATAGACAAACGGCAGGAAGTAAATACACTTCATTGGGAGTCAACCGTTGAAGAATCAACAATTAATCAGCTCCTCAAGTACCGCGCAGTCATCCATCCAAGCTCTGCCGCCACGTACTGATATCTACGACGCTCTAATTCTCCTTCTCAACTAATAATTGCTTGTTGGATACCGATGTTCGGCTATAGAGCATTCCCATTCAAAAAACTCCTTTCCAGGTGAATCAACAATTGAAGAAAAATCATCCATCTCATAGTCAGTTTGAAAAGCTCAATCATAAGCTGATCCCCGGTTCTACGACCACTGCATGCGCCCATGAATAATCAACCTCGTGTCGGGTTCCGTTCAAACCGGCCAGGTCTCCCATACCTTCTGGTTCAGTTAATTAGCATCAAACCGCTCAGTGGGGTAAAAACGCAGAATCTTGCATTGGTTGATTGCTGCCAATCAGTGCACAAGCCCCATACGAACTCGATTACCACAGCGACTCCGAATGGATGTCTACCCGAATGAATGGGGCATGCTTGAAAGGAGTTGATGAGNAATAGGAGTTATTCGATTCGAAATGTTCCCGTGGATCATTTGCCATGTTTAATTGTCCGAGTCGTGTTCCGTTGTCGTTTTCAAAAACAAGTCATCGCCACTGAAACAACAACGGGCTGACTCATTGTTTCAAGGCTTCGCTTCGTAACAAATTTCCCCCCACATCTTGATTCACTTAGTTGTTCGAACTCCTTGGAGTGGGTCAGGGTTATTAACAGAGGGCGGTACAAAGGGTGACTGTTCGGACTCTTCAAAGCCAACGTGCCCACGCCGATCGAGTTCAAATTTGAAATTAAATGTCGTAGGGTATATGACTAGGGGTGGGTGCTGCGCGGAGTGAGGACCTCAGCTATGCACGAAAAGTGTAGCTGCATCTCCTCTGGGAACCCGGATTTTTACCAGAAGTGGAGGAGCTTGAGGGGAAAAATTCAAGTCGACATGGAATCAACAGGATGGAACAAAGTGAACCTTCAGAGGAATCGAATGTCGAATGTACGAACTCAGAAAGGGCTCCGTTGCCATTGTGCTCTCTCAAGGCACTGAATACGATACTTTCAAGATTCGCATGAGTAGTTTGAAGGACATGAACTAGAGTCCAGTACGGAACTGACCTCTTATCGTATTCTAATGCTGTTTAATATCCCATTGCAGATGAAAAGAAATCTTTTATATTCAACGAGAAATGGTAGTATGTATAACGCAGAATTGGGGGTGCGGCAACAACCAAAATTTAAACTGGATTCCCCTCTTCTCTAGAGATAGGTCATTCATCCGCTAAGGAACTTAGTGTAATGTGCCTTTCATATGCCCAAAACCTCGTATAAGTATCACAGTTAATCCCCAGACCGATGACCACGCTGTTTTTTACGCCAACGTCTGTGTGGGGGAGCGCAAAGTATACGAGAATCCAAGTGAACCCTTACAGACTCACTGGTTTCGTGGAACGCAATGTCGTCGCACTTCGTAAGTATCAACAGCCTCTTACTGAATAGTTTTGATCCCTACCACCCTCTCGAAGTGCAAAACGACATTCAGCCCGGTCGTTAGGCGCCATATGCTAACGCGTGGTTTGAAATGACGAAAAGTACAGGCACTCACTGCCGAGGCCTTTCTTATACCGCTTGGGAAATGATCACAGTCAATGCCGTCGAAGAGTTAATGGCCTCGCGAAAAGGAATAGTTGCTCATCGGTAGAGAGTACAGACGACTTGACGAGAGCCTCCCAAGATTTGAAAATGGGAAAAAGGACTGAGGACAGATAGGAATCAACCGCTCGACTCCACATTCTCTGTATTCTTGGAAAAAAGTAAATTGACAAAAATTATGAGTCAGGTGATTCCTCCCATCTTCGATTGACTTCTACTTACTCTCTTGCCAATGTTCCATATAACGATAACGATCCGAGCATGCGCTAGTCTTTAATCCTTCTATTATCCGATCAATATCGATCAATGCTCAATTAGCTCCACCATTCTCTCTAATTTTTTTCGTTTTCTTACTGCTCTCTACGCTCTTCAGAACCGATCAATCTGTAAATACGTAGTATAAGTAACGCAATCATTCCTGCCGTACTTCTTGTTCTTTTCCTTATGACTAGTTACTCTTGAGTAAAATTTACGTATCACTGATTCTCCGATTCTCTCGATCGAAACCGAACAATGCTCCTTTCCTTCCCCTGATACTTCTGAGATTTCAGTTTCCTGGGGTAAATCGTACATCGTACTTCCTAGCTGTCGCACACTGTCCCTTCAAGTCCGGCAGGTTTGCAGTTCCCATTACACCATCGCGATTTTCTTCCGTCGTCTGTAGTAGCTAATTATTGCCCTTTCCACAGGGTTTGTCGGTACAAATGTCCTCATCATTTCGAGTATCCATTTACTGTCAATCAGTAGTCAGTAAGTTAATCCTTACTCAAGCTGCCCTAGCACCACGTAAGCGGAAATCGGTTCCTAATAATATCAGGATCAGGGAGGATATCGGAAACGACAGTCGCTATAGGAGTTCCAGTCATGTACCATCGAATGAGATGAAAATGAAAGTGCATCAGGTCAAAGCCAGTCTCCCACAAGCTGCATTGATTGAGTAAACCAGCCAGCAACAAGAACCTGCACATACCAACGTATTTGCATTCGGACCAGATCAGAGGTGCTTCTGTCAAGAGTATTTTCATTGTTTACTGAAAAGTATTTCTGGCTCATCCACAGCCAGCCGGCACGGTCATCACCCGGTGACAATGCGAAGACGAACGACGACATCATTTCTTTGTTTGCCTGCTTTTGAGTATGCCCAATGTCGTTGGCCTTGGTATTCAGTTCGGTTCGGACATCAGTTTCGCGTGACACTTGACAATTTTCAACGACGGTCATTGAATGGCCGCTGAACGAGCTCCGTTCACATCCTTCTCATCCTTGTTCGTCACATAAGGGTATACCTCGTTCCGTTCCTCACCTTCTTCTACACCACTCAAGCCTCTTCCAAACATGTTCTATCAATGGCGGCACTAACAGCCAAAGCCTTTCAACTCATGAAATGTTTTTGCGTTTATAGTTGTTTGCGTCTCGTTGGAATGCATACAGAAATTCAAAACTGAGCCAGCTCCATTCACTTTCTGAGCTGTCCTGGCTACGATAAAAAGGAATGGTTAAAATGTTCTTAGTGTAGAGCAGTTTCCAGTATTTGCAATTCACATTGCAATACATGCCATTTATTATCTCACTCATCATCTTTATTTCATAATATATCTAGGTATTTTCAATTATTACTACGATCATTAGGCTAGAATTGACCTTAGACTTACTTTCTTTTATTTAACAGCCCATTGAGGGGACCATTGTTACTTCACATCAAATTTAATATGCCTTTTAATACTTTTTGACATTTTACTATCATTTATAATTTTGCACTTACTTCACAGAACTTTGCGTCACTTTCAATCATTTAACCTTTATCTTCGACTTTTTGGGAAGAAATTTGGAATCTTTCAATTACTTCTAAGAAATACATTTCCTCTTTGTATTTGGTGTTGTACAAAGGATTACCAGTGCTGGAATTGAATTTTATCAAAACTATTTTCCCGATTATTTTCAGTGTAACCAGGTCCGCTAGACGAAATTATTCTCAACCTACTCTTTTACTGCTAAATTCAGTAAACAACAACCCCAAAAAGCTTCTCAAAAGGTAAAGAACCTTTTTTATAGGTACCGTCATCAATATGGTCTGGTTTGCTTCCTTAATTGTGTAGTATTACTGTTAAGACATCATGGTTGTCACATTCCTATAACGAAAATTCACTTGATCAGAAAAGATGTAAATATCCACTCATAGAGGGATCGTTTTCTGGAGTTATATATACCTAGAGTTCGGTAGATGGAGCTACATACAGTAGCGCTCAAAAGTCTTCGGTAAAATGGTTTTTCAGCCAGACTTTTCAGTCCTAACTCCTTTCCTATTGGATCTGATCATACGAAATTTTTATATTTGGTGCGTGGGTGTATTGTGAATAATTACCACTTTTAACCTGCAATCTGATCATGTTCCAGATATTCCGAAGAGCATGAACTCAAAACCGTCTGGAAACACAGATGATGGTCCTTCTAGAATCTATTTATTTTTTGTCATGTCTGAAGTGAACGAGCGGTAATGCCGAACACAATAGATGAGAANAACGCAATAAGCAACTTGCTCTATCTGTGGATATTGCAGCTTCGCAGTCGAATTGTGACGGGTAGGGTGAAATACGCTTTAGTTTAACACATCCAAATTTTGCGCGATTCAGTCTTCTAAGAAAAAAGTTATGAAAGAAAAAGCGTCAAAACATTTCACCGAAGACTTTTGAGCGCTACTGTATATCCACCCCGAAGAAAAAACAAAAACTCGAATACGATTTTTCCATGGATTTTGAGCTCATCTCAACCAAAGCCTACCTCCAGCGATAGAAAATTTGAATTAAAATGAAATTAAACATTTTCTGATATGCTCATACTTATTGCCGAATAAATTATAGCGAGAAAAAATTAATTTTTCGTCTTCCGTGCAATAGTATCCTCTAAGAAAAGGATGAGGTAAATTACGGAGAATTCTCCTTGAATCACAGAAACTTTCTACTGAGTGAAAAAAACGTTCTGGAAATATTATATTCCGTGAATGCTTGCAGTGACAACAATCCATCTAGCTATGAGCTACTGGGCAAGCCCTGCTATGATGATAGAGGGGTAAGAGCTCAAGAACTGTATGTATGGGTAGACCGAAAGTGAGGAAAGGGTTGCTACAAAATGAGTCTTCAAATAAATAACTGATCTTCTCAGTGAATGTATACAAAGATTTTTATCCATGCATAGGTTTTGAGGAATGAAGAATTTTGCCCTCTCCCAAGTTTGTCTCTACATATAGGAAGATTGTAGAGCGTCCTAAGAATCCTTGAATGATTCTGATTCATTGTTTGTTCCGAACTTCATACTTTTCATTGATGTATCGAGCATCGTCTTTATTCTGAACCTTCTCACTCCTACCAACTCTCACATCACCTTCCCAGTCCTCCTTCCCAATCCAGAGATATCTCACCATTTCTTAGGCGTTTGTATCGCATCGGACTCATTATAACTTCTACTCTTGTTGGTACTTTCGCAGCTACAGCTGTTCTGTTCTCCCATCTTATTATATTGAGGAAGATGGTCCAGTTTTCTAGGGCTCAAAGGCAAATCCACAACCGGCGCTCCTCTCTCTTCAGTTGTCAAAAGCCACTGCCTGAACTGGCTTTTTGTCTATGGGCTTTGGATTCTTGATGTACTAAGGGACGCGGGCAAGCGTTAGCTCAAAGTGCCTGGTCAGCTCAAAAGGAACGAGCTCGGTTGCTATCTAAGGCACTGAAGCATAATTTGAGCTTTGTAAGCCGTATCCTCGACATTGCCTACTATTTGTTACTCTACCGCATTGCCCTATAATAACAGTGGCGGAGCGCGTCCTTCAAAATAATGGTGCATGTTCTTTGAGCCAAAAAAACATGAAAATGACCTGCGTTTATAATGTTTCGCCCACGATTCATGTGGGTGATCTTTTGGAAGTGAACAAGTTTCAAGGTCAGCTCCGAATTTTGAGAGGAGATCGTGCCACTAGCCGAGTCCGCTCTTGATGAGTTCGGGAGGGGTTAAGGACGAAAAATCTTCACGGTATCCGCGCATATTGTGCCCGTTCAATGGTTTTCGTAGTGGTATTTTAATTTACTCGATAGGAAAGCGGTGCGGAACCAGTGATGATGGATGGTATCAGAGAGGAGTCCTGTTAGAGACTCACTCTGTCTCGAAGGTTTTGAAAAAAGGAGCAAGAAGTACCGTAAGATGACCGTTCTGCGTCTTACAACCCATATTGGCTGATTAATCAACCACTTTCAAGCTTGAGGTGAGGAAGCTGTTGGTAGTCTGGGAAATAATGAGCACGGTTCCCCGAAAATTACACATACATACGGGTTCGAGCCACATCTTAAGCTGTGCGTTCTCCCCACAATTTGTTCTGGGAAAGGTCAGACACGTTTCGAACGGTGGAAGCATAGACTTCTACTACTTCACTAGACTACTTTGTGTTGTTCGGGTGTTTTTCAACTTCATGATCGGGTATCACAAAAAATCATGAACTGTGTCCCACTTGATCCCTCAACGACGGTACGTTGTGCAGTCCATCTCTCTTGGTATCGAAGAAAGTCTTCGTACGCAATTTCGAAGGGAAATTATGCCAACCTTGACATTAAGGCTATTTACTGTTTTTGTAAGGGTGATTTTCACTGCTGTTGAAGGATCGCAGGCACCTGGATATGGGCGGCCCATCTCCTCATTGCAATTGACGGACTCTGGTGGTCAATGTCTTTGTTAAAAAGGGAAATCGAAAACGAGAAACGGTCGGCAGAAAAAAACAAGTCATGCTTTACTAGTAATTTTTTGAAGACCAAACACCTGTTTGTAAGCTATTCAGTGGGCCTAAGAAATAGAAAATGAGTGAACGGCTATGTTACCGTTCTTTATACAGGGTAACATCAGAGGCACGGAGACAAGATTCCTACCCCCTACGCGTCGAAGCTAATCAAAGAAGCTTCATTCCTGCGGTTTAAACCACTGTGTCAAAACAAACAACACACCACTACAAAACACAACAGCCAGACCAAACTGTCCAGATCTTGCCCACTTGAATTACCCGATTTGCACTCCAAAACTGAAAGATTATTGAGAGAAGGGAGACAGTAATTGAATAAGTCAGCATAATTCGGCAGTTTTCTTTGAAGATAGAGTAGAATGAGCCCGGGTTAATCGAAGAAAACTTCAAACTGCGTGCAAAAGGTTTCTTGGTCTAGTTCTCTAGGTTTGATGAAGGAAAATATTTCCTACTCCAGTATGAAAGGCGCCATTTAAGCATCAATAGTATGTATATAGTTGGTTGCGCTCAGCTTATGACACCATCCTGCACCCATGCGGTGTGGGTGCAACCGTACCTGAAGACGACGGCAGAGAGGTTGGAGGGTGTTGTAGGGGGAAGGGTGAGGAGGATCTCATAAGCAAAAAAGGGGCTCCCATTCCGACCAATCAGATCAACTCACTATCCTTCCTCGTTCTTATTATAATACTAATCTGTGCTTTCCTGTCCGTTTAACTTAGTCACAATCTACAATGCATACCTACCATTAAAAGGNAATACTAGTAGCCGTGGTAATGACCTCGTTAGACCCATCCAGGTTTTCCTGCTTCGTAGGATCGATTCATTGGCACTTCAAATACTACGAAGGGCAAACACGTCAACGTGGCTATTCCATCTCTTCCAATGTACACCCCACTGTGCCTACGCTTCTCTGCCAACAACCAACATGCCTCATATGTTTTCACAAATAGTTTCATCTCTTTGTTGCTCCATTACTAATAGGTAATTTGCTTTGTTTACGATTGTTTCAGTATTGATCGCAACTTGCAAAGCAGTTAGCCATTCACTCAATGAATGAATTTCCCCGATCTACCCTCCTGATTGCGCTGCAGAAAGAAAATTTCAAGAAAATGAAATTTGGGGACTGGGAATCTTCTTAGTTTATCGACCAAGACTAATACGCCGTGATATCGGCTTGCTCCGAGTATAGTGCAAGTGTTTGAAAGGCTCGTATTAAGCCTTGACTCGTATTCCAAGCTAAAGCCGGTGCTTGAAAACATTTTGGCACTTCAAAAAAGTTTGGTAATGCTTACCGAATCTAAGGGAATGGAATGTTTTATGGGCTTGGGCGCGACGTTACTAGCCATTGTGCCACATTGAAGTTTGATGGAAAGGGCTGATAAAAATCTGTCGACGTCCCTAACGTCTAAAAACATCCACAACCAGTAGTGGCTTAGAAAAAAAAGTC